TCAGTGACCCAATACCTCATGTTTAATGTGGAAATGGAATGCGTTATTGTCGCCATTTGCAGCAAACAGCAAAGAAAAATGTTTACTACTATCTGATATTAGCAAGGTAATTAACAGGTTTAAACACAGATCTTCGAAAAAGTTTAACTACCGATTCAGAATGAAGAAGTTCCTCTCTTTTACCTAGTCAAAAAGTTTCAGGTTGCTTATACAACCTCATGGCTGGGATGCCGTGTTTATAGTAAAACTTGCACCCCAGCAACTGTTGTCGTTAAGCACAAAAGTAAGGAAAAGGGGTATTTTTCATGATGACATGAAAAAAAGAGGAATTTTTATAGTAAAAGGTCACTTCCTCTGCAAAAAGGCAAATTCTTCTACAGTGCTGAAAAGGTGGAAGTACTTAATTATTTCATGGTTGCAACAAAGCTTGATGCATCCATACTTAAGAATGATAAAACTTTTTTCCCCCGCAGTGAAGAGGATATTAATGAATACTTTTTGCATTAAACATTTGGATGCAAGTATGTTGAAATAAGTCATCTAAGAGGATCTTAAGGAGCCTCTGTGGACTAACAATGCTGATTCTGAATGAAGATCTGAGAAGTTTCGGAGAATCAGGAGAATGAACTGCCACTGCTGTAAATGGTAAGGTGGGTGACTGGAAATACAAGGCAGCTAGGGAGCTTCAAGAAAGTAACAGGTCAGCTAACGGTGGACTTCATAAATAAAGAATTAAATCTTGAAATTGCAATTAGTGTTAGCTAGCATAATTTCACAGAAATTGGGTCTTGTCGAATTAATTTTATATTCTGACAGGATTGCACGTCTGGTTCATAAAGGTGACAGCTGTTGGCTTTTGTAAGGAGTTTGACTTAGTGACTTAGCTAAAACACCTACTATTCAGTATCAGTAAACTCAGAATGCGTTAACTGGCAATACACAAAATGTATGTGTCTAAAATTAGAGAGTGAGAAAAATCATGGAGCCCCAAGTGGTGGAAATGGGTCACTTAGGCAAAATGATTTGGATCACGTCATCAGCCGGTACAGATGAACAATATGCATGTTATTTCAGCATACAGAAATTCAGATAAGTTGGAAAGAGGAAGTAATCGCTGGGCAAAAGGACTGTTTCCTGGAAAGGAACCATCCCTAAAAATTTAGAGCTATTCCACAGCTACACAATATGATCTTTGTTAAAAATTCTTACTCTGCTTCTTTCAGCATGAAATGCAGTTCTGGAAATCATCTTAGTATGATTTATCAGCATGTGTAACCTTTTATTTTGACATAAGAATTCCTTGAAGTGTATGAAGCTTAGAGTAAAAACACACTTCTTGGAGAATAAGGGGGAGTCCACAAAGATTTATTCTGTGATAGCTATGGTGCTTTAAATTTATATTCTCTGTTCTGAAAAAAATTATACATACAGAGAAATCTGTGCAATCAAAGACCAAAGTTGTATTCCTGGTCCTTGTAGAACTACTTCTTATAAGGACTTCACCAATAGGATTTTAGGGTGTGCAAGGCCTTAAGGTTCAGCTCCATAACATTTATATTTGTTTAAATTACTGCACAAGCTCCAATTCAGTACTATTGTAAGTTTTTCCAGTCTTGTATAATGTGCTCCTTCCTAGTTTCAGAGCAATTAGAATTATTGCCATATGAAGAGTGGCTGCTTTTATGCAGTTAATTCTCTGTTGGTCAAGACTTTCCATCTTCCCAGAGCTTTTAGTAAAGGTGTCTGTACGTGACAAATTTCGAGCTCAAGCATTTAGAAAAGATTTTTACAAGAACAGTTGGAATCTCAGGTTTTTACCTAGAAAACCACTTCCAGCTCTTTAAATCTAGATCTGAATTTAGAAGATGCCCAACAAATTAGCTGGAATATACTAGGACTTCAGTAGGAAGATTTTTATGCTTATTGGCAAGATAGGTCAGCAGAAGAAATCTGTTATACTGAGGATCTTGGTAAATGCATCTCAATCGCTCCCCCCCCGCCCAGCATGATCTCTCAGAATTGTATTGTTTCCTTCTGTCTGTTTTTAGTCTTGTGTTGGTACTGTTATCCTTTAAATACGCTTTCGTTGCTCATTTGGGAAAGAAGTCAGTTGTTTTTATCTGTTTTGTTTTTAACTTCTTCCTAAAAACTTGACAATTTCACGTTTTGCTTACCCCTTTCTGCCCACTGTTGACAATGCTAACCACTGCTTTACCAGTACCTAAGGCTTATCTTTGCTAAAATGTGTGTGATGATAGAGACATGCTTAAACATTTGTGGGACTCACTCGGATGTCCATTGAGCAAATATTTTTCCCTTACCAACACTGCATTCCATCATGAATATTTGGTACAGGGAAGACCATGCAAGGTTTTTCTTCTAGATCTTTTTGCTTTTGTGCCTCTTATAATTCTTCATCACTTGATGTTGACAGCGCATTCTTTTTTTCAGACGTGTTTTATTATAAGAATTACTTTTACTTTAATTTGAAAATAAAAGAAAGCCCTTTCATTTTAGTTCTTTTGTTTTATTATAAAAGTTATAGAAGGTTTAGGGAAGTTTCATTTTATTTTTTGAGGTAGGAGCAGATCGCTAAGAAAACTCTAAAACATTAGTAGGTGTTTTTGTCCTTAAGAAGAAAACAAGGTATTTCAAGTTAGGCAAGGTATAAATTACTTTCTCAGTTATTCAGTTTTAATGCAATCCATATAACATATGGATTCCATATACACAAATCTTATCTTTCCAGTTATTTAGCCATCCACGGACTCTCAGAAGGAAAAAAAAAAAGTACGTGGCCTGCATTTCCTAGGTAAACAAATACAATTTTGAATTTTATTTTTAAAACCTTCTAGGGACTTTCTTTTACATATTAAAAAGAAGCAAAAAAGAAAGAAATGTACTTTTTCTCCAGTCTACTTAAAGTTTCTTCATCTTGGTTTGTCGTTAGATTTACGCAGAGGATGAGTTTGGTCTCTGTATTTTTCCTATCCTGCATTTCCTTTCCCAATCAAACCAATCTTTTTTTCCCTTTTATTCCAAGTATTTGCTTCTAAGTCTTTTCCCACGTTTCTCGTTATTCTCTGCATCTTTTTTCCTCCTTTCCTTTTATCTTTCCTCCCTCTTCTTTGAGTAGAGCTCTTTAAACGTTTAGTTTTAGAGAGTCTGCAATCTGCCATTACTGCTGAGCTCTTAAAAGATTTCCTCATCTAGAAATGTCTGTATGGAACATTGCTACTTCATCAAAAGATTAAATATTTTTCTAATTATGTGTCAATTTGAATTGTGAAGTTCACATAGAAATCCTTTTGTTTGGTGGTTACTTCCTTAAATACATTCCAGTGAGGAAGACAAGGGCTGGTGAGTGTCAGTAAGATATGCCTTCAAACTGTTTAGGTTTGATTGCATTGCATTATAGAATGCTTCATTACTAGTTTAACCTCTCAGAGGTTTTCAGCTGCTGTTTTATTTAGCTATACCGACTACACTGCCTAAAGCAACTCCAGGCAATGATTCCCCCAGTGGCATGCATGAGCTGCCCTGCTCTACTGCAAAAATACATTATGGCTGAATTTGCCCTCAGAGTTTGGAAAGATCTAAAGTCTTTGGAGACTAAAAATGTGTTTTTTCTTTGTTTTAGCTGGCAGTATGAGCCTCTGGCATTTTAAAGTGCAAGTCATTAGCGTCCACAAGGGTGATGTTAATATGTCTGCGTTTCAATCTCAGGACGTTTTCCAGTTGCTTCTGCCACAACAATCTCTGCCATCTCAGTGCTTTTTAAGCCCCATGTGAATTAAAGTAAGCTTTGCAATGCCAGTAAGAATCACTGTAGACTTCAGCTGAAACCAGTTGCTACCTGATTTATTCTTTTTGCAGCAGCTGGCAGTAAGGTTGAAAGCCATTCAAAGCTACTGGGGGAGGGAAAAAATCGGATATAAAAATGAAGGATGTAGTGTTTAGAAATGTTAAATACGGTCAAAAATAAAGCTAGAGAAATTTGGACAATCTTATTTTGTTTACACTGTCTAATTGTTTGTATTTATTTTCTAAAACGGAGGAGCTAGGGTTTAGTCTTATAGAAACATTTAATTGCATCTACAAAATCCTGGCAACAGTGATAACATGGCAGCCAGAAATAATGGATCAATTGAAGTAGTCCAGAAAGTAGCCTGAGGGACCAGACGGCAGTCATAATTGATGAGAAGGATAGACTCTGTCAGCAAAGGTAATGCCTTGTGGGAAACGCAATAAGGCAACAGAGAGAGATCAAGGGCCAACCCTTTCACCCAATGCGTAGCAGCGGAGAGTAGATGTACGGCATGTTTGGTCAATTGCTGCTTGCTTGCTTGTTTTAACTGGCAGGAATGTCATAAATATTCCCCCTTCCCTTTTAGAGCACTTTACTGTATTCCCTCCAGTTCCCAGCTCAGTCATAATCCTGGTTCCCACAACCAAAAGAAATGTAATCTGATTGGAGGATAGAACAGAGGAAGAAGAAGAGGTTTGAAGGTTAAGGCAACCAAGCAAAGCTAAAACCATAAACATTTTGGCAAGTGTTGCTATTTCTAAGCGCTTCGTTTAGTCTGAAGGAAAATTAAATAGTATCCTGTGGTTAGCTTACTGTGTTTCACACAGTAGCCATCGGTACCTACCCCACTAACAATACATGAGCACTTGAGAAGTTCCAAGACGAGTGATGAACAATAAGAAATCTGGTCTCTCTAATGATGCTTGTCCCTAGTGGGCTTCCCTCTCTACTGTTCAGTAAGGGGCTGGTATGCAATGTGCTTAGTGGGTGGTTTGTCAGTGGCGCAGATATCTAGTCTGTATATACAAGTGTTTGATTTTGGACTCACTGGTTAGCTAGATATGTTCTTTTACAATCGCAGGGCTGTTGGAGATGTGATACCCTTATGATACAATCATTACTAGTAGAAATCCTCTAGCTCAACAAAATTGTTTTTAGCCCTAGTACTCTTCCTTTCCCTCCTTCTTTCCAGGTGTCCTGTGTGTTTATCCTGTGGATTCTTTGGAGAAAGTCTGGTGTCTTTTGTTTGACTGGTGCCTAACATAATAACCTGGTCTTAGGGGTAAGCACAGCTCCTTGTTTTCTTCTGATTCATTATTGGTTTCCCTTGTTACTTCTTTAAATTAAGAACTTGGCAGAGGACTTCTCCTTAGCTCTGAGTTGAGACAGTCTCTCTTACAGGTTATTTCCTGGGTACTTCTGCTGCCAATTTCAGAAGCTGGTCTTTCTGAAG